ATCTGGTTTTGCAGGTCGCATTTAGGACAAAGGTGTTTCACCCTAACATCAACAGCAATGGAAGCATTTGCCTTGATATTCTGAAGGAACAGTGGAGCCCTGCCCTAACCATATCCAAGGTTATTTGTTTATATTCTTATTAAGTTAACTAACAGATGAAATGGAATTAGCTTATAACATGCATAAATATTGAAAATGTTGAACATATAGTGAAATTTATGTATGAAGGCTTAATGGGAATGATATACCGTTAAGGAGCAACATGCATGGTACAAAGGGGGCCATTTTTTTCTTGTTAGGTTAATTACTTATGCTGGTTTCTTGCTCTCATGGATTTCTAGTATGTTGTGATATGCAGCAGAAGACATTGAATTTCTCAAAATGTAGAGTGGCTTCAATCATTATGAACAGCATGAATGAATTTCAATTTGTTTTCTACTTGGTGGTGCTGCCTACCTTTAGTTTTCTGTTCCTTCCATTAGTCTTTGAATTTATGTTTGGGTTATATCTTTGGTTTTAGGTGTTGCTATCAATTTGTTCACTGTTGACGGACCCAAATCCCGATGACACATTGGTACCGGAGATTGCCCACATGTACAAGACTGACAGGGGCAAGTACGAGACAACTGCAAGGAGTTGGACCCAGAAGTATGCTATGGGCTAAGCTAGCTGCTATGCATGTGAATATGCGATGTGGAGCTTCTTACGGGGTGGATTTGATCTTTTTTAAGTTATTGTGTATGAATCAGTATGTGTCGTGTCTCCTTTGATTCAGTGGATCAAGGCCCTCTAAGATTTGCTGGTTTAAATTGTTTGTATGAGAATTTATCTTAAAAACTTTGGAGAACTCTTTATATTCTTGTAGTCCTGGCGAACCCTTGCTCTCTCCTCTTTAACACAATTGGATTTAACTGCTACTTTATATACTGGAGAAGAGAAGCATTTCCATTGGACTTCGAGGCCAATAAGTCCAAGGAATCTTTTAAATGGGCCTGGAAAAGGCCGAAGTCTAGAATGTGGGCCTTAAGGATTATAAATAAACTGATTAGGATTATAATCTGATATATTTATCGTCTTAATTTAGGTCATCTAGGTACATGTGTTCTGGACTACTTATTAACCCATGATTGCCAAACAATCTCTCGCTTACTGTTATTAAATCCAAAATGTTACTGGGGACCTTATATTAATATTTAATAGAAGAAAATTACCGGAGAAGACGAATAGCTGGGTCCTAAAGTATGGTTAAAAATGTATTAAATATATATTTTTTAAATTTTGTATTAAAAAATAAAAATTAATATTTAATTTATTAACTAGTTAATTAAATTTATTTACTTAATTTGGATACTAAAACTAATATTAATTTTTATAAATTTTTTATATATTTATAATAAAAAAATTATTTTTAATCTATGTTCTTAAAGTGTAGGTTAAAACATCCATAACTGAATATAACGAATGATCACTTGGTTGTTAATTGTGGAGGTGTCCTATTAAAGGTCCCTGTTCCTCAAACTGTCAAACTGTATGTAATTAATTCTACTGCGATGAAATGGATCTTTCTACTGAAGTGGTGGGTGGTGCCAATAACCGCCAGTAATAACACGACGGTGTTATAAAAACCATGGCAGAAAGCAGACGGAAAAAAGCTATGGTGAGAAAGAAACTAAGAGATCCAAATTTGTCACCTGTAGAGTAATTAAAAAAACAAACCATTGTTTGCATACTATTGTATTACAGTAGTATATTTTTCCTTTTTTATGACAAACACAACATCGTGTTTGAATGGAATTCCATTATTAATTTTAAAAATGTAGGCCCCCTCTAATGCCCAGGCAGTCAAGGTATACCCAGTCAGTTCCCAACGAACTCTATTTTAAACGTAATATAATGTAGATAATATTACTATATTAGCAAACGAAGTGGCTGAATAAT